AATGCCAAGTGTAGAAAATTATCATTTAGGGGGAGAATTACTACGAAACGATCCAATTGATCTAAATCCTGAGTTTAAGTTTTATACTAGAAGAAGACTAAATCAAACGAATGAGGACCAGATAGCAGACTCATCATAGACCCAATCTGAAACTCCGAGGGATGATTATGAAACTCCAGGTAATCAATCTTCCATCCGTGTCGCTCCAAATATTGAAAATGTCTCATTTGTTCTTTCTGATGTAGATGTTCCTATAGCCTTAAGAAAAGGAACTCAAACTTGCACCAAATATCCTCCTCCAAACTATATTTCTTATGAAAAATTGTCTAAGTAGTCATAAAGCTTTTACATCTAGGATAACTGACTTGTTTATTCCAAGAAACATACAAGAAGCTCTAAATGATCCAAATTGAAAAATAGCTGTTATGGAGGAGATGAATGCTTTGAAACATAATTGTACATGGGAGGTAGTGGATTTGCCGAGAGATGAGAAAATTGTGGGGTGCAAATGGATTTCTACAATCAAGTGTAGTGCTGATGGTAGTGTTGAAAAGTACGAAGCTAGACTAGTTGCAAAGGGATTTACTCAAATCTATGAGATTGATTATCAGGAAACTTTTGCTCTTGTTGCTAAAATCAACTCTGTTAGAATACTTTTATCCCAGTTGCAAATTTAGATTGGTCCTTTCACCAACTCGATGTAAAAAATGCCTTTTTGAATGGAGATCTTGAAGAAGAAGTATTTATGAGTTTACCACCAGGTTTTGAAACTAATCTTAGGAAGGACGAAGTATGTCGGTTAAAGAAATCTCTATATGGACTCGAACAATCTCCAAAAGCATGGTTTGAAAGATTTGGTAAGGTAGTCACGAGCTATGGATTTCTTCAGAGTCAAGTTGATCATACCATCTTTTATAAATGCTCTTAGAAGAATAAAATTGTAATTTTGATTGTCTATCTAGATGATATTATTCTTATAGGTGATGGTGAATTAGAATTGGCCATCTTAAGAAAAAAGACTTGTAAGTGAATTTCAAATCAAGGGCCTAGGAACATTGAAGTAATTCCTATGAATGGAGTTTTCAAGATCTAAGAAAGGTATCTTTATTAATCAAAGAAAATATATTCTTGATTTACTTGGAGAAACAAGTTTACTTGGATGCAAGGTAGCTGAAACTCCTATTGAATCTAATTTGAAACTGGAAGCTGAAAAAGAAGAAGTAAAGAAGAAGAATTAAAGGATAAGGAACAACATCAAAGCCTTGTAGGAAAACTCATTTACTTGTCTCACACACGTCCAGATATTACTTTTTCAGTCAGCATGGTAAGCTAATTTATGCACTCACTAGGATCAGTTCACTTTGAAGCTGCCTATAGAATTTTAAGATATTTGAAGGGAACTCCAAGCAAAGATATATTGATAAAAGAAAACCCAACCATCTACAGGTTGAAGTTTATACCGATGCTGATTGAGCAGGAAGTATAGCAGATAGAAGTTCTAATTCTGGTTATTTTTCGTTTGTTGGAGGTAACTTAGTTACTTGGCAAAGTAAGAAACAAAATGTAATGGTAAGAAGGAATTTAGGACCCTAGCCCATGGTATTTGTGAAGGAATATGGATAAAAAAGCTACTCGAAGAACTGAGAGTCTTGTAGGAGGCACCCATATGAGTTTATTGTGACAACAAAGCTGCCATCCCCATAGCCCACAATCCAGTTCAACATGATAGGACTAAGTATATTGAAATTGACAAACATTTCAAAAAGGAAAAAGTTGATAATCTCCCAACAATAAAGCATACTGTTGATGTGTTGACAAAAGGACCACCAAAAGTACCATTTGACGGGATGATTGACAAGCTAACAATGAAGATATCTTTAAACCTACTTGAGGGGAAGTGTTAGTTTATTATTTGTAAATATTAGTTGTAAATTCACTGTAATATTAATAGTTATTTTATCCGTATTTTCTTTTATGTATTGAGCCTCTCTTCTATATGAGAAGGCTATGTATTTCTTCTTTTCACATTGGAATACAAATATTTTATTCCATCAGAACTAAGTTAAAAGGGAGGAAGAACTCCCTGACAGCTGTGGAAGCACATTGGTTCCAGAGGCATTTCCTCAAGGAAGAGATTCTTTACAAAAGAGGATATTCTCTTCTCCTCAGATGGGCAAGGGTACATAATGGAGGAGGTCCATGGAGGGAGGGGTACGTGGCAATCACGCTGGGGTGCTCATTAGCCCCCAAAATTCTAATGCAGGGCTATTATTGCCCTATCTTAGATGGATTCTCCAAGTGGCCTATCTTAGATGGAGTCTCCAAGAAGTTTGCCCGAAGGTACGACTGATGCCAGCAAATAGGCCAGGTACCAAGGAGATTATGGATGAGCTCTCAATCAACTGGAGTGAATATGGCGTCAATTGATTATCCATCAGCTCTTGTGCCTTTTTTTCTTCAGGTTTTTGATATCACATCAAATTTGAGTTGCTTCAAAAGGTCTTACTAACCATTCTCTTATATCAGTATCCAGATTTAATAAAAAACTTTTACCTTACTGAGTTGAAGGCGAAGGAGTCCGGAGTTATTGGGTTTGCTTAAGGGTCTTGTAATTAAGAGGGACTAGGGAGGATGTGATATGTTGGAAGACTGAAGCATATGAGATTTTTACTTTCTAAATCTCTCTTCCTGAAGTTGGCTGATTCTAACAGAATGTTTGATAAGGAAATGACTTTGGTGATATGAAAAGGATGGATGCTGAAGAAACTTAAGGGTGCGTTTAGTTGGTGGTTAGGAAATAGAAATTTGAAACAAGGGATCCAATGAAAAATAGAGTTGTATTATTTATTTTCAGTGTTTTCAGATATGTGTTTGGTAGCATATTTGAAAATTGAATCTCAATTTAAAAAATTGTTCAACGTGTATTTAGCAATATATTTGTAAACTAGTAGTAGTTATCAACTAAATATTTAGTTTAATCTAAAATAATATTAATTAAATTATTAACATTTTTGGTATAAATTTTGTATAAATATTACAATGTTGTATAATTTATAATACATTATATTTTACATGTTTTACTTTTAACAAAAATGAAATGAGTTTATGACATGAAATAATATATTTATCAAAGTTTTTTTTTCCTTTTTTTTTCTAATGTAATTCTGCATTTTAAAGTTTCAAATTCAAAATCTGAAAACACTAAAAACGTAAAAATGTTTGTTTTCAGAATTTCCACTGGATCACATAATCCTTAAATAGTTTTCAAAAACAAATCTGTCAAAAGCTGCCAAACGTATATTTACTAAATCCATTTGATTCGGTGAATCTGAAAACAAGAAACAGAATCCGGATGGCTAACCAAACAGGCCCTAAACTTGTCTGCATGCTTCCCTCTAGTGATATGCTGAAGAGTCTAAATATGTGCCTCTCTTCAGTTTGGTGCGTAATGTGCAAGGAAGGGATGGAAAATCATCTGCACCTCTTCTTTCATTGTACCTTTGCTCATGCCATTTGGGCTAGATTACTCAACCTCTTTCGTATTCCTTGGTGTTTCCCGCACAGGAATAATTTGGCGCTTTATGAGACTATTTGCAGCAATCTGTTCAGAGGGCAAGCTTATGTTTGTACACCAATGCAGTCATGGCTACATTATGAAGGATTTGGTTCGAGAGAAATAAGAGGGTCTTCAAAGAGAATTCATAATTTTGATCGAGAAAAATAAGAGCGTCTTCAAAGAGAATTATTCTAGTCAAGAGGACTTTTCAAACTCCATTAATCGTTTTGGTGTTATCCTCTAAACATTTTTGTAATCACTCCCTTGTACAAATCATGATCAATTGGGCATCCTTTTTGTAACCATTTGGTCTTGTGGGGATCTCCATCCCCTTTTTTGTATGGCCTTCTAATCAATACATTCCTCAGTTTTTGAACAAGATACAAAATTTTCATTGATAGATAAAAAGGAACAAAAATGTTCCAAGATACAAACCCTCGAGGGAGTGAAAAAAATAAGATAAAATATAAAGTAAAGTAAAACAAAGTAAAAATAAAACCTTCCCAAGAATAAAAAAATGATATTACGAGAATAATCCGCAAAAAAAAAAAAAAAAAAAAAGGTGAGCACCACTGAGACGCCTTAAACTTAGCTAAGATCAAAGCATTCTTACCAAACTCTTTGCTTGTTTTCAAAAAGCCTTTGGTTCCTTTCAAACCAGAGTTTTGAAACAATAGTTTTGATCGCATTGACCGAGATCAATCGAGCTCTTGGAGAAGGAATTGGGCCAAAATGAAGCTGCTGTAAATTACCCCGAAGAGGTTTATGAAAAAACCCACTGGAAGTTTACAAGAGAGGAATAGGTTCTCCCAAACCCACTGAAGGTTACAAGAGAGGAATAGGTTCTCTCCCAACACCTTACTGCATACGGACAGAGAAATAGCAAATGATCTTGGCAGTCAAAACTTGCTAAACAGAGAACACAGATGAAAGGTTGCAAATTGCGGTTTGGAAGCTTCTTTTGAAGTGGTATATTTGCCGTATTTAGGTTTCCAAAAAGTACTATCCATGTAAGCACAGAAACTTTTCTGGACACCCTGATCTCCATGGGGCTGACAGCAGCTCCTTTGGTAACTTTTGGCCATGGCATGATGCTAGTACACCATTACAGCCCTATTGATGTGTTTCATGCAGAAATTCAGGGGAAAACTTGAGTCATCTGTTTTTCTTCTGTGATTACAGTTGAAAATTTTTGGAATTTAACAATGAACTGTCGGATCTTATTTACTTTGAAGACTTTCTTTGGAGCTTTTTCTCCAATTTCTTTTGTAACTATAGTTCGTTTAGTATAATCTCCTTGGCTCCTTGGCTCTTGTCGGGTTAATGTCTTCGCATGCTGTAAATTTTTCTTTTTATTAATGGAAGTTTGTTTCCCAATGCCAAAAAAAAAAAAAATTTCTTTTCTCATTTCCAATTTATGTAAAAACCATTTAATTTCTTTCAGGTAGTAGATGTTCCTGACAAAGGTGCTCGGAAACATCCTCGAGGTGATAGCATTCAGGTGAAGTTGAACTGCAATTTAGTAGTGTCTTATTGATTTTCTTCTTTGATTTGATTATAACGTGCAAGTCACATTAGACCATTACATCTACCTTCAGCTATGAGCTATCGAGCTACTTGAACGTGGAAGTTACAATTCACCTAACCTCTCTCACTCAGATTGATGTGAATGTCTGGAAGTGATGATCCCATCTTTTAAGTTATTAACATTACAAATTCATGTATTCAAAACGCTTTCTAGATGTTTGACATAGACAACTTGTTGAAGATAAGTCACCATCTTATTTGTAATGTCGCAATTTAGCTGCCTTGAGCTGCTGGCTTACTGTTAACGGTTTTGGTCAAATCCATTCTATTCCTAAGTCCTCCCCATTTAAGTTTCTGCTTTCATTTTTAGAAGGTATGACTATTTGGGACATAGCTCAATGAAATTAAATCCTGAACATGTTTTTAGTCAGTATTTTGAAAAGTGTGCCTTGGTGTGCTTACCAAGCCCCATGGCAGTTCATCGCTTCTTCCTCATGAGGGTGCCTTGCTTCAAACGTCCACATTGAGGCACACGTACTACTACCCTGCAATGATTTATTTTTTCCTTTTAAAAGAAAAAGTTGCACAAATCACCTCTAAATCATTGGGGTTCTGATCACACCAATTTGTTCAATTAACACGTCAAACTTGGTAAGTAAAGGGTTGAATTTGGACCCAACCTTTAATAACAGTTTGACTTCCATTAACACCCTCTCTTTGTTATTTAGTTTAAGGGAATCCCCATTTTAACCTGCCTCACCCTTCCCTATCCTGATCCTGATCTTGACCGTATTTTTAAAATTATTATTACGTATTTTATTATGTATTCCACGTCTCCGATTTGGACCCTAGTCTCATTATTTTAATTATTGTTATGTATTTTTATGATGCATTCTACTTTCCGACCTCAACCTCAACCCCGACCTTGAATTATTTTAGTTATTCCTATGTTTTCCATGTCGGTCTCTCTTGACTCTAGTATTGACTGCAGCCTGCAACCTAGGCCCTAATTTTCTTTTTTATTATATATTATGCGTCTTTGTCTCAATTTCAATTTCGGCTTTGACCTCAATCCCAACTTTATTTTCTCTAAAAGAATATATATATTTTTATGTATCCCATGTCCCCACTTAATCCACCTCAAGCTTGACCTTGGCCCTATGCTCAAATCATACATCACAACCATTGTTTTATCTCAAGTAATATTGTCGATTTACATTAGAACTTGGTTATTACACAACTTATACTCTTCATTCGAGTGGTTGAGAAGGTTTCTAACAGAACATTTTTTTTTTATGAGAAACATCGTACTATTTCATTGATGTGATGAAATATACAAAACAAAAAAAAAGAGGGGAGCAAAGCCTATGCCTGGGGAGGCAACAGAAAGGGCCTCCAATTACTCAAAAAGTGTAGAAAACCCATAACTATGAACATATGTTGAATTTCTACACCAAGAAATATCCAAAAGATTACACCATCCATGAAGCTCTCATGTGGTTTTCATTTTTCTTTGAAGATGCGGTTCTTTCTTTCCATCCAAATAGACCAAAGAATACCTAATGAAATTGAACCAAAGTTGCTTTTTTTCTGTGAAAAATGTGGCCACAAAAGAGAACATTCAGCATGTCGCGAAGATCCCTTGGCATGACAGAAAGCAACCCAAAGGACGATAGTAGAAGAATTTGTGGAGGAGATGCACCCTCGAATCCAGCCTCTCCACATGAATTGAGCCCTTTGACCTGAAGGATCTCATGAGAAAGTTCAAACCATTTTATCAAAGACCTTTTCTATAGTCAATTTATAACCACTCATTTCTTTTGCTATCGCTTCCAATCATCAATAATCTCATTAGCAATGAGCTATAATCAGTCTACTGGCAAAGAATGAAAAAGTTTCTAACATAACTATGACGAATAAGCACCTCACTTCCTCCAACTGTGCATCTTCCCGTGGTTGGAGTCAACCCTATAAAGAGTACTAAAAAACCTTTACTGTTTCTGTGCTTTGCTCTTGAGCCCTAGAAGGCTATTGTACTTTACTGCAGTTCACGCATCAAAAACTGTTTTTAGTCAACTAGGTGGAAATTGTAGCAGATTGGAAGTCTGAATTAAGTTCATCTTTATCCATTCCAGAGCAGAGGCATCTTTTTTTAAACAAGGCTATAAAAAACAATATGAAGTGGGCTGAGTTTGAGAAGAGAACTAGATTTATTCTAAAGAAACTAATATGAGTTGGGGAGTGTGTTTTTACATGTGTTTTGAGCATTCTTATTTGGAATAGAATGAAAATATGAAATAACTAATGTTTAGCTTTTATTTTATTTCATTTTTATTGTTCTGTTAATATATTTTGCTTCCTAGGACTTAAGTTGCTATGATGCATGGCAGATGGATACAAAAAATATTCTCTTTATATGTGGTGGTGCATTTGTTGGCTTGGATAAGTGCATTTCTGACAGGTAGGGAATTTCTTAGTTCTAAATGTCAAACTAAATTGATGTTATTTTGTCCTATTTTGATTCATGTACAGAAATTGAAAATCCACCTTTTTACAGGCAGCATGACTCTTCAATTGGCTTTGGAGCACCAGTTCGTGCTAGCATGAGAGCTGGTGGATTGACTGATGCAGTAGTGACATCTTCAATACTGGGATCTGTGAGCCCATAAACCATTAAAAAGTTAAAATGTTTCGTCACAAAGGACTTATTTTATTTTATTCACTTTTTGAACTGAGACTCGACTCCATTTTTTCCCTTCCATTTCAGAACCGGTCTTCATTCAACAACTGAACCGAAGGTCTTTTAACTTTCAGGTAGAAAGCAGTGATCTTGTTACTTATGGTCTCATACCCGAATTTGTTGGACGATTCCCGATCTTTGTGAGTTTGTCAGCTTTGGACGAGGATCAGCTTGTTCAGGTTTTTCTAGACTTTTGGGTTATCTTTATTTTGATGTTTCCATTCTAGAAATGTGCAGGTTTTATATTTTTCATTTCTGTTCTGTTTTTGTTTTTAAGACAGATCTCTTCATCTTAATTTGTCTTTAATAGGTTCTCACAAAACCGAGAAATGCACTTGGTAAACAGTACAAGAAGATGTTTGGAATGAATGATGTGAGTTTTCGTTTTATATATAATTAACTAACCATTTATTACATATATGTGAAATGTGTTACCATGTTACTTTTTCTTACATTGATGAAAAAAACTTAAAAAATTCTGGTAAATCCAGCTCACTTGAGACTGTATAATTTTGCAGGTTAAATTACATTTCACCGAGAACGCTTTAAGAATGATTGCAAGGAAAGCAATGAAAAAGAACACTGGTGCTAGGGGATTAAGATCCATTTTAGAAAATATTATGACTGAAGCTATGTTTGAGGTATCAGATTTTAGGATGCAACGTGTTTAATCTCCAACAGTTGCTGTCTCTCTACTTTCAACATCATATTCGTGCTTGGACATATGTTCTTTTTTCTTTTTCCAAGTAATTTTGCAATGTTGTTATGCTGGAAAGTGCTGCCTCCAATATTAACTCATTATGCTCAGGTTCCAGAAACTAGCAGTATAAAGGCAGTTTTAGTTGATGAAGAAGCTGTAGGATCGGTCGACACTGTAGGATGCGGAGCAAAAGTTCTTTGTGATGTTGATGAACTAGAGCGATATGCAAATGGAGGAATAGTGAGAGATCTGAAGGTATTCTCTCCTGATGTTCATTTTTTTTTCTTGTCAATCTTTTGCCTCAGTTTAAAATTGGTGGATTATGTTGTCTAATGCATTTACCACGACGTACAGGGAAATGGTTTGTTAGCAGAGGGCGAGGGTCGGTTCTCGGATGGAGTCGAGGTTCCATCAATAACTATGAGATTGTAGATGCATTTTAAAGAGCATATATGTAAATTTATTGTGTAATCAGTATCACTAGGGAGAAGTACACAAGTAGTTCATTTAGAGATCTTATTTTCAATAATCCCTTTAAACCAAACAAATGTATAAGGCTAGCCCATTTATAATACAAGTCCATATGAGGAAGGGGCAACTACAAGAATGGTCAAAATAAATAGAGTATTTTAAAAAATAGCTAAAATTATTAGTTATTATAAAAATAGCTAAAATTATTAGTTATTATAAAAATAGCTAAAGGACAATTTTCATAGAATCCTAAAATTTATTTTGGATAAATATACTCTTGAAACAAAATACATTTTAGGAATTTTTTAAACAATAAATAGTAGCAAAAAATATGTACCATAATTGTAAGGAAATCAATTTACTACAATTTACTAAATTAATAAAAGTTAGATTTTGAAATCTAGAAGAAACAAAGAATGCATATTAGTAAAGAATGTATATTAGGATGATAGGACCTCATGATGATGAAGATGAGTGATGCTAGAGAATTTAAGAGAATTCATGAAATGACAAAAAAATAATAATAATAATAAATAAATAATTTGTACATAAGTAAAATAAAGATTTTTTAGAATAAAAAGCTGTAAACGTGGTTTTATAAATTTATATTATTGCAGCAACAAGTAATTGAATTTGAAGAATAAGAAAACTACTAAAAATCAGTCCCTAGAAGATGGATACCTGAAAAATGTTCATGGAGGGAGGAATGTCTGTAAAATTGTTTTTTTGCGGATTTTGTTAGAGATATCCATTTGTGCTACAGAAACATCTAACTTATCCAAGGAAATTTACTTAGAATGGGGTAATAATTCATACAAACCTTAATTGTAGGGATTTATTTTGTTCAACTAGTAAAAACAACTAACTTTAATGGTAGGAATCAACTCCAAATAAAAAAATCAAATTCAAGCAACTAAAATCTAATTTAAAAATTGATGTTCTATGTGTTGAAATCAAGTATCTTGGAAGTAAATAAATAAAAAATTATTTAAAATTTGATTACAGAAATCAAATATTTTTCTAATGTTTAAAATTGGTAAGTTTCTAACTTAAGATCTGAAATCTAAAAATTAAAATTTTTAAGTGGAGGGGGTAAATATGTTTATTGGGTCCCTGATGTAAAGGATCCCACATTGAAAAGTTAACGGAGCAAGGATGAGATTGTGAGTTTGATCCCCAACCCTACATGTACTAAAAAAAAAACTAACAAAAGTTTATAATATAAGTGGATTACTTCTTCTATTGCCACTTAGATTGAGATGAAACCCCCACAAACATTGGGAATTTGACTCAAATGGCCCTCAAAAGTTTTTGAAATGCTCAAATGACCCATCCCTCAAAATGTGTCCAACTGACCCACTTTTAGCATTAATGATGTGTCAAAAGCACATGAAATGATCATAATGCCATTAAATGTAACAGATGACCGTTGGAATAATTTTCGGCCAAGGTAGAAAAATTCTTGTCCAAGGTAGCTTCAATGCACGCCAAAACCAATCAGTACATGTCATTACTAACCTTAGAGAACATATGTCCTTATCGTGAATATTCTCTCTGCACAATCCTTAAAAATTTGAAAAACATTGTGAATATTCTCTTTGGAAGTTTCAAGATTTTGGAAGAGGTAGTTCTTCATTTTTTATGTTTTCTCCTTTTGCTCAATAATCTTGCTTGATGTCTACATTTCAAAAGATGTGTTTTTATTTGGTCCTCGTTTGGTTTATTTTTGTTACAGTCGGAGTAACAATAACGTTTGTTATTTTGTTTTAAACTCATTTGTCCATTCCTCCTGCACTATGTGTTTTTAATTTTCGGGTCATTCTCGAGTGAGGTGATATGATTCTCGATCGAGAATCATATTTTTTATGAACCTCGGGCGAGGTACGAAACTTTCTCGCCCGGGGTCAGAGGTTTTCAAAACGGAATGTTTGTTAAACTCACCTCGGACGTGGCTGCATATTGAACTCCACCTCGGGCGAGAAAATATATTTCTCGCCCGGGATATATATAATTTTTCCATCTCTAATTGTCTTTCAATTGTGCTTTGTAATGCAGAACAAAATGGTTCGCCTTTTTGTGATCTATGGGGGTTAGTGGAATCAGACAGACACTGTATACGAAGGTGGAGTTATGGGTGAGTTGAATGTTGACGAAGGAATAACATATAGAGACCTTGTAAGTGCGATCTTTAGGATGACTAGAATAAATCGTGATATGTTCAATATAGTTCTACAATCTATCTACAAATTTGAGTACCAAGTGCTGAACTTTTATATATTTGATGATAATAGCTTTGGTTTTTACCTTATGGGCCCTCCACATCTCTTTCAAGTGCCCTTGTATGTATCTGTTGTACCAAAGCAAAGACAAGGTAGTGGTAGTAACACACATGATGGTACATTATATCCCCAAACCGAAACATTCGCTTCATTTTGCCAAGTAGAACAAAATGTTTCTTCTCCTGTCCCACTAAATCACATGCATTCACCTACACATACTGTCAACCCGCCATCTTCTGTACAATTTATGACTCCATTGACGGACAATATTGTCCAATGAAATTTAGGCGACGATGAACAAGAACACTTCGGTCAGTGGGATGATGATGGAGGTGATGAGGACCATGAGTATGAAAATGATGATGAGAATGAGGATGATGGTTACATAGGAACTGAGAATGAGGATGATGATTACATAGAAACTGAGAATGAGGATGATAATGAAGCTGAGGACCCAGTTTGTGGTGGTGATCCATCATCAAGAACACCTGTTGTGGAAGTACAGTCTGTAAGTAGGAATGCCCCTGTGCAACTACTGATGGTCAGCATGCATCCTTAGAACAGATCGATACAATTGGTAATAAGGATGATTCTGTTGACGACATTTCAGTTAGCAGTGTTTTTCGGTCTAAGGATGAATTACGATTTAAACTGGCCGTTTTTGCCATCACTAGGAATTTTGTGTACAAAGTTAAGAAATCTACTACAAAACTATTATCTATTGCATGCACGGAAGAAGGATGCAAATGGGCCTTACGTGCAAGAAGAATCAAAGGTTTGAATAACTTTCTCATCTCAACGTTTTCTGAGAATCACAGTTGTGAATGACCAACACTGACACATGACCATTGACAAGCCGGTAGTTGGGTGGTGAGTCAATTGATAAAGTCAAATTTTGAGGAGGTCAATCGTCGTTACAGGCCTAAAGATATTGTGAATGATATGCGAAAGAATTACGGTGTCAATATCAGATATGAGAAGGCATCACGAGCGAAAGAAGTCGCACTGGGCCTATTGATGGGATCGCCTAGACAGTCGTACTCTACTTTACCTAAGTATGGAAGGCTCTGAAGGCCGTGAATCAAGGAACGGTTTTCCACATGAAATTGGAGGACGACACATTCTTCAAGTACGCATTCATGGCCTTAGGATGCTCGATTAGGGGTTTTGGAAGTTGCATACGACCTATACTTATGATTGACGGAGCACATATGAAGGGGAAGTACAAGGACGTACTACTTATTGCATCCTCAATAGATACCAAATTTACCCTCTTGCATTCGGTGTTATCGATAAGGAGTCTGATGATTCATGGACTTGGTTTTTCGAGCGGGTTAAGATTTGTATAGGTGACGTAAACAGTTTGGTTTTTGTATCTGATTGGCATCAAAGTATCACGAACTTCATGGCAACAGTGTTTCCTGATGCAGCGCATGTCACATGTATGCATCATGTAGCGATGAAATTGAATGAGAAGTTTAGAAACGAGGGAATGATAAAAATTTTCTATAAAGTAACAAAGGCGTTCAATGTATCAAAGTTTCGCTACTATTGGGGCCAATTAGCCAGATTCCCAAGAGTCTAGAAATATTTGGAAGACATCGGATTCGACAAGTGGGCTCGTGCATATCAACCTGGAATGAGGTATAACCAAATGACCTCGAGTCTCGTTGAATCCATGAATGTGGTACTTGTTCATGCTCGTACTTTGCCAATAACAGCTCTATTTGAAAATTTTTGAGCTCTACTACAACAATGGTTTTATGAGAGGCGGACGGTTGTCTCTAGTCAAGGAACAGTTCTTACTGAATATGCAGAGAATATTCTTAAAGAAGCGGCAGAACGAGCTCGATATCATCATGTCATGCCAATTGATCGGTTCGAATTCGAAGTGCATGATGGTACGTTCAAGGTAAGTGTCAACCTAAATAGCAAGACCTGCACGTGCAAACAATTTGACTATTTCCAGATTCCATGCTCTCAAGCCATTATTGGGGCGGTTTTTCGAAACATTAGCGTGCATTCATTATGTTCCGATAGGTACCAAGTCGAAACCCTTATACTTGCTTATGTCGAACGCGTGTACCCGCTCGGAGATGAGGAAGAATGGATTTTACCGGATGACTACGTGCCGAGGACGATTAAGCCACCAAAACTTGTTCCTTATGTTGGACATCGCCAAATTGCCAGAATACCATCAGTCGGGAAGTCCGACAGGTACACAAATGCGGGCGATGTGGAAGCGTTAGACACGACCGCAAGACGAGTAGGTAGTCGCTCCGAACAGAATGATATGGTTGTTACTAAATTTTGTTTCATTCTAGTCAGAACTATGTGTGCTATGTAAATACTACTACATTATGGTTTTGCTGGCATTCAAATGATGTATTTTGTAGGTTCATTTCGGATTGCAAAGGAAATAGACCAAGTCAAGAAAAATTCTTTTCAGGTTCTGTCAAACTTCTCGGGCTCGATCTCGGGCGAGGTAGTGCCCGAGGTTGGCTCATTTTCAGGTTCTGTCAAAATTTCCGATTAGATCTCGGGCGAGGTGAAGCCCGAGGTTGGATCATTTTCAGATTCTGTCAAAATTCTCGAGCTCGATCTCGAGCGAGGCGAAGCCCGAGGTTGGCACATTTTTCTTAATTCCATAATTCTCAGCCAAGATATAGTTGACCCCGGTCGTAAAATTCAATGAGCTACGAAAATAGAGATTAAAATGATTAATATATTGAAAAATAGTTCGTACACTTGATTATTTCCGATAATAAAATTATTACCGAATGATTACCGAATAGAGATTATAGAGAATATATGGAAAAATATTTCGTACAATTGATCACCAAACTGCCTTATTAGATCATAGCCGGAAGGCAAATTGCCTCCTAAAGTATGACATATTGTTTTGCCTCAATGTTTCTAAAGAAGTCCCTGTTACATCATATTCAAAATACTTAACACAAAAAATGCCGCAATCTCCACTACCAAACTGCTGTGGTGTCGACGTAACCCTACTAATTCGCCATGGTGTCATTGGTAGGTTTGGACGTACCGTGATGGCCTGAGATTTATGCAATAACGGCGGGATAACTGCGCGCATGACGTTCAGTTGCTCCTCCAATGATGCATCTGGGGTAATTGCCATCAGGGAGTCCCAGACAACGATCTCACCTTCAACGAAGTCTATGCATATCATAACCCAATGGTTGTCGTTGACATTGAAGGGTAAATAGACAGCCTCTACCTCACGCCACTTGAGCGGGTTCTTCCGAATGACTTCCGTCGATATATACCATGACGGTACTCTCCCACGCATCCCAGTCATACTTCTTTGCCGCCTACGTTGGTGTGGCATTTTTTGATTTCACCAGCTCGTATAGACCATCGATTCGACGAAAAAAGTTTTGTACATTTAATATGGATTTTGTTAGGCATGGATAAGAAATAGAGAACAAAAATAGAGTAACAGACATTTACGTGGGACGTCGACAACACAGTGTCTCTAGTGGTGAATTGGCGAGAACATAGGTCAGTACGTTCTTCCAGCTTCTTCCGCACGAACATGACTAGTGAATCAACGACCTGCAAGTATCACCGTCATATTAAAAGTAATAGACAAAAAAAAATAAGGATTTCCTAGCCTCCATCATTTTAAGCCTATGTACCTCATTCGTGCACCAGTTCTTCGGCCTAAGTAGGTCACGAAATCACTGCTTCTTTCTGTACGTATATAGTGTCTTTCGGGACGAACGATTTGATTCGTAGTCTTCAATCCACTTTTGGAATTTGACCTCCTTTGTAGCTGGGAGATCTAGAAGTGGATTATACACAATCACCCTTTTTCACTTCCCACCCACTCTAACTTCGTAGGACCCTCCAAGTTTCCATGGCTTTTTCTTTTCCCGTTCTCCACGACAAGGGGGTGGACGCATGACTGGCTGAGATAACACACATACGTCGCCATCATCCACACGTGCCTGGCCTTGTGATTGTGTTTCCTCGGATGCTTGTGACTGGGATACGATATCTGGGTTAGTGTCAGTATCCGACAAATTGTCCAGAATCTGAACCTAAAAGGATGTTATCATTAGAACAACGTCAACGTAACCCCAACCAAAATAAGTTAGTGCACAGCAATTGAGATACATGTTCGGTGACTAGTACTGAATGGCGTCGGGGTCAACATCTCCCACGTGTTTCGACGTACCGATGCCCGTACTCTGGACGTCCTTGTGATGATCAGAAGGCGTGCCAACCATATCTATATCAGGTTCCACGGTTTTTTCCTTACCAACTGCGCCTGTATCGACTAGATCTATATCGAGGTCCACGGTTATTTCCTCGCCAACCGCAACAGTGTCAACCTCTGTTACCTCGGGGTCCACTTGTTCGTTCTGGACATCTTGAACAACTGCATCTTCATGGACATCTGCTACACCATCCTCATGTCCATCGCCCGCTGCATTCCCATGTCCATTACCCACTGCATCCCCATGTCCATCGCCTTCGGGATGACTATCCGTTGCCTCCTCATGAGTACGCCTTCTGTCGCCTGCACTTCCCGATCCACCAACATCGTCACCTCTTCTGCCTCTTCGCATATCGGATGGGTCGACTGGTTGACCCTATACATAAAATGAAATATTGCATGAGGGAGATGGAGAAAACATTCTATAATACAAATTTAATGAATGAAACACTCACCCTTGCAAGCCGTCGCAAATACTTGTGTATGGCTTTTGGCTAGTCTCTAGACGTTCACAGACTTCCTCATCAGTTTCCAATTCATCTGATGTTGGTGGTTCGATTACCCTATTCAAAAACATCTTCTCCGCCGCAGTCGGTTCTAAGCCCCTAATCGTGGCCTGCACGAAAAATGATATCAATACGACACAGTTTGAAATCAAGTCATAACAAAGGGCGAGACTTACTGTTATAGACTGGAATATATCCCTCTCCAGCACGAGCCATCCTGTCGAGTGACCGCACCTCCACCGAAGCATGCCGGGTATCAAACTATCACTTATCTTCTTGGCAACTCGGCTCGTCATGGAAGATATTGTCTCATACGCCTGCACCTATACAAATTACAAATAATGTTAGTAACAATTAGTATGTCCAAATTAAAGTGAAAATTTACATATATTTATTTACCTGGAACACCCACGGGAAACCATACAGACTGTACGATTTCCTCAACGCCCCCTCAAGTGTCTTCTTTGCAAGTGCTCGCTCCAAACTCTTCATAGTCTTCTCAAACGATAGCTGCCCAGTCATGGTTGCATCACACTTCCCAGTCGTCTACTATTCCAAGCAGACTATGAAGACCTTCCTAGTCGTCTATATTTATTTATCGTACTTCATGCTTCTTTCCTGCCCGTAAAGTACAAATTCAACCAAGTATACAATGGAGACCTTCACTGCGTCCCAATCATCCTCGAAACAAAGCACTTCATACTTCTTCTCGAACTCACCCAAGGTTAGGTCTACATTATCATCGAAGTACAGGGTCCTAAGCCTAAGAGGATAGGTGTCCTTCATAACGGTGGCTGTCGAATATTTTAGGCCGCTAATTAAATCAAATTCTCTTCATCCAAAGGACACCTTACTACCAAACAAGTTAAAACTCATGGTGTCTTTACGACTCTCATATATCTCCCTAAGCAGCAAACAATGAATTAGTGGCCCGTTAAAGACGAGATTTACATCAAGCAAATGCCCAACTGCAGTCTTCCTAAATAAACGAAGATGACCAGGGGTAAGTTTCTTTTTAATGGCCTCGGATGTCTTCGCTAGGTGTGATAGATAGGTCAACTGGGACGAGGCATACAGTGTGGGAGGGACCTTCGGTACCAAATCCATTTCCTATAAGTAAATACACACAAACATGTACACTCAGATTCAAACTATCAAAGTTCACACTAAACTAAACCATATATGGTCAGAAATGAACACTGTTTAATAACTCAGTAAATAACTCGGGCAAAATATATATTACTCTTAGCAAAGTTTACATTTGTAACTTTCCTCGGGCACAACCTCGGGCAAGATCGGGCCCGAGAAAGTTCACAGAATGTAGACTACACAAAAATTTGTAAAGTCGCTCAAGATTTGTAAGCTTCTATCATTTTTCTCGGACCGACCTCTGACGAGGTTATGCCCGAGGTATTCGTCAGATATTCAACCTCGAGTCGACCTCGAGCGAGGTTGAGCCCAAGGTATTTGAAAGATATTCAACCTCGAGGTTGAGCATCGCCTCGAGGCTGAGCATCTGACGAATACCTCAGGCTCAACCTTGCCCGAGGTCGACCCGAGAAAAATTGCAGAGCTCTCGTCCTTCATCAACCTCCCAACACACAACTTAGAACTAAACATCCCACATATCTCAAACATCAATTTCAGCAGAACAACAACGAAGTAAAAACCCACAAAAATAATGGAACGAACAAAATAAAGTAAAATCGAACAACGAAATCACTCATTTATGTACATGGTCAACAAGGTACAATGCTGGTTTTTAGGAATCGATGGAAAAAAACTCATTCAACATGAAAAAACGCAGCCCTAACCCGATGGAACAATTGAACTTACCTCGAGCGATTTTGAACGGAGACGGAGCGGGAGAAGACGACTCATGCGAACGGAGAAGGAGAAGACGATTCACGTGAATGGAGAAGGAGAAGGAGAAGACGAACGACGACTGAAAACGAAGAGAAAGGGGGAAAGTTAGGAGAAGACGAACGACGACTGAAAACGGAGAGAAAGGGGGAAAGTTAGAACGGTTCAATTTTTTAACAAGGGGTACTACGGTAATTTGGCTACCTTTAAAAGTTAATTTAATATTCAAGTGGGTCATTGGAGCACAATAAAAGGGAGAGGGTCATTTGAGCAAAACGTTTTTACCAAGGGGTCATTTGAGTCGAATTCCCACAAACATTGAGGAGGTATAACTTCAATTTAGTGGTTTCAAATGAGAAAAGATAAAAAAAAAAAAAAAAAATAGATTTAAGGGCAAAGTTGATAAATCATCCATTTTTAAAATCTCGTAAAAGTTTGTTTGGCTATTTATGCAAGTGTTTTCTAACCAGAGGGCTATATGGCAGGCTAAGATTCCGCCTAACCAACTCTACTCAACCCATCCAAGACAAAGAAAAATTGACCATTGCAATGATTAAATTTGAAGGTTGAATTTTTCCAATTAAAAAGTATATAGGTTAAATTGCAATAATTAATCTCTTATAACATCCATTTGAAAACGGATATCACATCTTATTTTATATTATCCAATTTATCTGATTATGGAAAATGACCTTTATTTTGGAAAAAAATTATTAATTTTATTTTGTAAGTAAATGTTTCATTTGTCTTACCTTGACTTCAAGAATGAAGTAAAGGTTCAATATGATGAGTAAGGTAAATTATCATGCTGTAATTTCTTTTAAATAAAAGAAAATACTCCTAGAATTTGATAGATTTCACAATCTCAACTCTATCATAAAATTTACCTAATTTTTTTTGTCTTATTTTTTTTTTAAGAAAAATAATTGTTTGATAAAAAAATTTATAAGGATTTTCGTGCCCCTACACAGAAGTTGAAACTCTATGATAGTACATTACTCAACCCAAAAAATAAATACGTCTTCAACAATCAAATTAATTTTGGAAATACATATTTACTTTTGAGCATATTGTTGATTATGGTAGGAAAATCATTCTTGGCTTCTGGGTCGTAAAAAAACAATTATTTCTTTCTTATTAATGAAGTAAATTATGATTATACTTGAATAAGTTATTTTGTGTCTGTAGAAAAAGAGAGTTATCCATCTAACATAAATATTTAGCCTTTTAAGTGAATGATTAGAGAGGGAAGATTGGGGGAGAAAAGCGTTTACAATGGAAAAATATATATTGGAATAAATTTCTTTCTAGGTGAAAAATTGAGATTTTGGGAGAGATTTCATGGGAGAAAAATGAAAGGAACTTGGAAAAAAGGGAAGTAACTCGAGAAAGGGAGAATATTTAATTAAAAAGTGGGGGAGAAAATTGGGGAACAGGGAGATATAGAGAGGAGTTAAAATAACTTTTTTTTTCTTTTTAAGTTTTTGATATTAGTTTTCATAATTTTTAGATTATAATACTATTTTAATCTCTATAATTTCATTCCTAACTTATACTTATACTTTTAAAATGTTCATTATTATGGTGACCATCAAATTTTTACACAAATTCTACACAACCAAAACAATATAATTATAGTTACATTTCAAAGATATAATTGTGGTTACATATCAAGAAATATATTGAGTATACTATCTCAATTGAAAATGTTATATCAAAATTGAGATGAAAAATAATATTAAATGACTAAAATCGTCACCCTTTAAAAATACAAAGACAAAAACAAACAATTTGAAAAACGATAAAACCACCCGTCGGGCCTCAAAAAGAATGCCAACAAACACACATGGCAAGGTTAGACAGTATAAAATTTTGGAACGTTTTAAAAGTATTTTTGCTCACATTTTCCATATCCTTTATTGATTCCATGTCAGTTATAATAAAGATTAAAAACACCATGTTTGCAATTGTTAAATTTCAATATCAAATCTCTCAACCCTTCAAAAGTATTCATAATATCAAATTTCAATTCTGTATCCAATCTGCAAACCTGACCGTAGCTCACAACAGATTTGTTAAAGATGAATAAACCACCACTCAACTCAAAAGCTTAAGCTGGTGAATTGGATAAATTTAATTCATTTATGAATATCTCAAAAGGATTAAACATCACGAGTAAAAGATTTTGAATCTCCACCGCTACAATAAAGATGTTATATAGTCAACTTAAGCATGGATTAATCACCTCCCTTAAAACATTGGTGCATTCAAGTTCACACAAATCCGCCTATTTCCAAGGAAATAGAACAGTCAACGTAAAGGGGGAAAAAAATCATGCCATGCTAAACTTGATAACCATTCTTATAAGAAAAATATGTTACCAAGAGCAAATCCAGGGACCTAAACTTTTAGTACATTACTGGTAAACCACATTTAGCGTATTGATCTAGTAATATCAGACAGATTGCCCCAAATGGATACTAAATAAAAAATACATACAAAGAAAGCACCTACAAAATCTGACCTGCCTTTAATCATCCATCTCCACCGTTGCACCTTTAAGATGCAAGTGCTTTTCCCTCTTCTGAAACTCAGTCAAACCCTTACCACTTCCAGTCACGCCAACCTTTCCATTCGGATCATCCGGAGACTTGAAAATGCTCTCCCTCTTGCGCCCCGAGAAGAAACCAATCTGAGAATAACATGTGTATGTATGTACTTATTAGCCCCACAGCAAAAGTGCCCGAAACGAAGAACATAATCAGAAAGTGTTGTAAAAAGTACGTTATCGCAGGCAGCAGTAGCTAATGTATACTAGAGGTTCAAAAAGGAAGAAAAATCCTGACTGCATTGGATATTTTAAGGAAAGTCTGGTTGGAAACAGTACAGAATTTTTAGTCCTATTTCCAAGGGTTGGCATGATACTCATACAATATAACCTGGAATACCTTCTTATTAACCTACTTGCAATTATGATTCTGCTTTGATTAATGGAAAATGAAATATCTTTCTATAACATCCTTCGGCCTTGGGGCTTTCTTGTACTTCAGTTTTCATATGTTAAGTGAACACCGAAAATTAATCTATTGCTTGGAACAAAAACGTGTAAGAACTAAATTTTGACGACCATGTGAATTGAAATCAAATTCTTTATGCAAGTAATACCGATGTACATCAATACAGAACACAGGAGCATTCCACAAAATGCTAGTGTTCACAAAAATTACCTTTTTAGACTTGCCTTTTGCTGACTGAAACTGCTGCCAAGCATTCTGCCGTTTATTTTGGGTAACTTCAAGCTGTTCTATGCGCATCTTTGACTTGAAAGCATGTATTTTCTTGCGTTTGGTGGCTTTCTAAATTTCAACCACGACAAGAACAAAATAAACGCACTTAAAAATTATCTTAAATACCAAAAAAATTACTATACTAATAAACTAGTTGCCATCAAACATTAAGATCGTCCACTACTTACAACATCCTCAGGATCGTCAGGTTCAATACGAAGCTTTGGTGGTAAATTTCGTGATTGGAAGTCAACAGAAGCAGCTTGCGCAATCTTGCGCTTGATAGCCTGCTTCGTAGCTTCAGCCATTCTTTCTGCTTCAAGTAAAGCATTAACTTCCTGTTGGATTTCCCTTACATTGGCAGGGTCCACCTAAAATTAGTAGATATCACATAAGTTGTTAACTGGTGCAGTTTTCCCTTTTTACTGACTACTGAGGTAGAAGTAGAATAATTCCAGAAAAAGGCATTAAAAATGTAGAACAAATACAATTGACATGCAAAATAAAAATTAAAAAATTAAAAAAAAAAAACATGTATGTTCTGGTTTGAACTCCTAAAAGTAAACTTCATAAAAAGGCCTCAAGGGGGCCTCAAGGGGAAGTCCAGTTGGCGGGCTTAGGGTCTCTGGATCATACTGGCTTGAGGTCAAAAGTTCGAACCTTCCGGTGAGCCTAATACCAAAAACCCTCCCAGTTATCCAAAAAAATATATATATAAAAAATAAAATAAACTTCATAAATATGCATAGTATGATTTGAACTCCTAAACTTCATTGAGCTCTCCTAAAGTTCAAATTAGATTCTTCTTCATTCCAATCAGCAACCAATTGACTTTCAGAGGGGATTGTATTATATATAACTGGTAATTTGACGGTAAGAGCAGTGCCTCCAGCTCAAACGATTAGTAAGGCACCATGATTGTTTTAGCACTGGCACGCTTAGAAAGAAGAATGAAGTTATTGTAGCAAAAAGGATTAAAAGATTCCCTAAAATTCTAGAGTTGCATGGCATAGAGTAACTTCAAGCCAACATTTGGTGGAAAAAAATGGTGGGCTTCACAATTAAGTGAGTGGTAGTTTGTGGTGGTCAAATCTAAAAACTCAGATTTCTTTTTTATTAGTTTCGAAACTTAAACAAGGAGATGGTAGCAAAATTTCCTCTGGGAGGATTGAATGGGTTCACAATTAGCCTTAAAGTACAATATTCCCAAGATTACTTTGTGAAGCTGTGGATAGAGATGGTGTGAAAGAATTTTTTAATGGGGGCAAGCTGGAAAAATGTTTAAAGAAGGAATTTATTAGAAGTTACTGAACTATCTACTTGCCTACATTAGAAAGGATTATGCTAAGAAAGTGAAGAATCAGAAACTCGTAGGATATTAAACTATAGATAGCTGGTCACCATAATTTTAACCCAATTCCTCTACGGTCCCATGACCACTAGACAAATCCATGATGATTAATTCAAAGCTATTTTTTGGGAATAATAAATGGAAAGGGACTATAGACTTTGAATAACAAGGTCAAGAGTTGAGAAGAGGTGGTGAAAGGGCTAGACTAAACACATTTAATTGGTGTTCCTGGAAAAGTTATTTTTGCAATCATGCCTTTTTGTAATTAATTCAAATTGGAGAGTGATTTTCCGTAAATTCCTAGGAGTTACACTATTTTTGGATCGGGGGAAGTTAATATCTCCTTTTGGGTTCTACTCATCAAATCTTCTCCTGTCATTATCCTCTTTCCTCATTTACCAACAACTGAGGCTTGGGGCTCCTTTATGTAATTGTTTCCTCTTATTTTGCTCCCTATTGTGGTCCACTGTTGATTGGCCCCTTTTGCAGCCCTTTTCTCATTAAAAAAAAAAAAAGAAAAGAAAAAGAAAATCTGTTTCCTTTCAAAAAAATGTACTATATATATATACACACACACATTGCTGATTGAAGGTTAGAGAGAACGTAAGACTCTCATATAGTTCCTGAAAAAACCTAGAATACTCTTAGAAAGAATTCAAATAGACATGCGAACTATGTTGAAAATGCCAACCAATTAACTTCTCAATTCTAATGGATACACTTGCAGCATAAGTATTCTGTCAAAACAGAAAGACTCAGAACTCAGAAGACTCAGAACTAGCTAAATAACTTCAAATTTCACATAAATGCATGCAGAGAAAAATTTGCTTCTGCATGGGAAGTAAATGAAATTGTACAAGGTACAGGGCAAGTGAAATAAAGGAATAAGATCAGTAGAGTAATACACTCAAACAATAACTCAAAATGCAGCCATAGAAACCTTACCTCTTCTTTGTTCCCCCAACTATCATAAGAAACATAGAAACCATTTACAGTATGGGCTTCAATCGTAGCATCATACCTGAATATATATATATATATAATTGAACACAGTCAAAGGAGTAGTAAAACAAATAGAAACGATAAAGAATGTTTCAATAGAGGAGGCAAAGAATGTTGAAGCTGTGAGAGTAAAGGCCGGTCACAATCAAAAGAGTTAGAATATACCTGGAAATCTAGAAAGTAAAACCAGCTTCAACGGATGAAGACTTACTCTCACTACAGTTATCATTGATTTGGATAAGAAATCAGGAGATGTTACTTCGAAGGCTCAAAATTTTTTTTTTTTTTAGTTTTCCAATACAAGAGGGCTCGAACCTAGACCCTGGGTATCAACACCCAACTGCCTCTTGCCACTGCACCAACAACCTAGTGTTCTCGAAGGCTCAAAATATTGACAGACACAATGAACTGAAAACTTATGAGGGGAGGATGAAGACAGAGTTCAGGTGCATAATTTTCACAAAGGGAATGACTGTCATAGTTGTGGAGGTATTCAAAATGGGTTTAACCAAACTCTATATTTAATCTGTTTTTCCATGCAAATTATTAAAGCCTTGTTTTTTCCTACAAATACACTAAAAGGCTTCTCTTTAAGATGTATTATACAAAAACAATTACAGAAAGACACTGAGAGCCTAGCTGCTATCATAATAGCACAAAAAACTGGTTTTCGTTAACAACATTCTATAAAGAATACATTTATGGAAATGGAGCAGTCTTTTGTATTGGATACTAAAAACCTTCAGAAACAAAAATTGAAGAACTCCATGCTAACACGGCAGGACAGACAGTTACTATTTGGATTTCCGGGGACAGTCAATCAGTAACATTGAACAGTAAGTTATTTCTATATTTTCCAGTACTTGCTCCAATAGTCTGTAAAATTTCAAGCACAGATCTCTTTTGCACACACTTTTTCTTCAATGTCTCTGTTTTAACTAGGAAAGTTGGTGACTAAACGTTCTCCATTTATTTTACTTACCATTCCCCATCCTCACTCCAAACAGCTTGAACTTTTGATCCAATAGGAAATTTCTCATGATGATCGGACAGGCTTTCAGCTTCCTGCATACAAAAAACATAGAATATTAGAACACCAAACATCTGCGCACATGCTTCCATGCAAACATTATGTACATGAATAACAATATTCAGTTCAAAAGAAGCTTAGCTCCATGCCAAGCAATTCATGCAGTCTCTATCATGGTACTACTTCCATGTCAGACCAATCTAAGTGTTATTTGCAGTGTGTCTTAACAATAGAAGGTGCAAAAAGGTAAAGAAGAATTTGGAATCCTCCAAAAACCCAATACAAAAGGAGATAACAAGGCTATCCAATTGGATGAGAACAAGGTCGTTACAGAAAGGCTTTGAAAGATTGCCCCGAGTAAGACTCTAAAAAACCTTGTAAAAAAGACTAAAAAGATTGGCCATAGTGAAAGCAATTAATCAAACTAATAATGTCCCACATCAAACTAATACCTCTAGGGATGGGAATGCAAATGCTCAAAATAGGATGATTTTTTTTTTTTAATATCCGTGTGTCCGAACCAGCTTGCGCGCACCTCGACTAATCACTGGACAACCGCGCACCTCGACTAATCATGGGACAACCGCCTGACCCTAATACATTTGGTTGACAAGGTAACTCGCAGGAAATTAATCCTGGGTAGGTGGCCACCATGGCTTGAACCCATACCCTCTAAGCCCTTTGCTATTTACATGAGCCCGACCACTAGGTCATCCCATGATAGTTAAAAATAGGATGATTATTGATTATATTTGATTATGAGAATGGGGGTTTGTAAGAAGTGATTTATATTTTATTTATTTATTATTCAAAATATTATTATATTTTCTACAAATTGACCAATGGTATAGAGTTAAATAAATATATAAATAATATTACTATTTAATTAATTACTTCAAGCTAAATTTAGGGTGGGGTTGGAGATTCGGACATGACCTTATGCCTTAACTAATTGAGTCATAATTGAGCTAGGCTCAAGAGCCTCTGTCAAGCAAAGTCTAAAAATATTCATTCCTAATTAGGAAATTAATAGTTAAAATTAAAGAAACTAAATTAAGTAATTAATTATTTCTAGTGAGTTTAGGATGTTCGATATGTCTTGGGTCCTTGCTGTAGAAGTTCCTGAGAATATTTTTCTACTGCTGTTTGGTACAGTATTGCCTTCCAAAACTAGTATTTGGCATCAAAGTCCTTATATTAGAGTTGTGGTTCGAAAGATATCAAAGTGTTTTTGCAGGAAAAAGCAAATCTCCACTTGAAAGCTTCAGATTTACCAAGATTAAAGCTTTTCAATGGTGTGCTCTCTCTAATTTTTTTCAAATTACTATTTTTTGTGTGTGTGTTTTGATATGAAACCTCAAACATATGTATTATAAACAAAAAGTCAAAACAGCCTAGGAGCTGGGGGTAGAGAACCCCCACCCATTTTTATAACTCCCCAGTCTCCCCATTAGTTCCATTTCTTGCTTCATTTCCTGATTATGTTTACTCTTTTTGTTAATTTCATTCTTTTTGCTCTTTCACACCTTGGGGTAGTAAAAGTTTGTATCTTGTTCCAAAAAAAATAGCACATGCACACGCACCATTCCAACATCCATCACCAACCACACAGAGATTCAAATAGTGTGCATCAGATCTAATACCTTAACCATTTATAACATCATGTTGCTTCCAGCAAAGAAATGTAATGTGCAAAACAAGGACAAATGTGAACTTACCATCTTAGTTTCTTTAGACTGCAGGAAACTTATTGATGCACTGTTGTCACCAGTTTCTACGTTTGATCCAGAAATCTCATTTTGCTTTGCTGTTGCAAGTAGTTCTTCCGTCAGAGAGATAACCTGCATGATTACAATCTTAGCCCAAGTCCAATATTACTGTTATTATATACTCTTAAACTGTAAAATTCATAAAGAGCAGGTATTTGTCCCCAAAAAAAAAAAAACAAGAACTTAAATCTCAGGATCAGCATCCGAAAGGAGGTCAGGGGAAGAGCAGACTGGCCATCACGAATATTAGCAAAAACCTGCAAGGGAACCAAGGTAGAAGTGATGTGCATCTTGATGAAGTTTCTAATTTTTACACATATCCAATAATCATCATTTATCCATATCCACCAGAGATTTGTGCTCTGGAGCACATAAATGAAAGATGTAAAATGCCCTCACCTTTTCTTTCCAAAAATGAAAATGACAATCTTCACAGAAGCCATAACTCTTTCTTAATTGAACATAATGTTTCCTTTAAAAGGAAGAAGGAAGACAAACAAAAGAAAGAAAGCAAACTGGAGGGGTAACCCACATAATAAAAATAATAATTCTGAGCGCTCTCTGATCCTTAGTGCTACAGCAGAAGATGAACCTAAAAATACATTCAGCGGGAATATGAAGAGTGCTAAACCATACACATATGACGAGTTCACAAAAGAAGGATGAGTATATTAGGAGGACAAAACAAACTACCTCTTCAAGCTCCTTTTCCATATCAATGTATTCAGAGTTGCTGGGATCATCATCTAATAGCTGTCTGACCTGGATCAGGATAGAAAGAACTCATTGTAACAAAAAACACTCATAAAAGGAAGCCACATGTGAAAACCAAGAATTCATAGAGTTATGTAAAGGAAGTTATTGATAGAAAACCATGAATTTTCCATACAAATGTAAAAATATTCGATTGCTTAAACCCTGCTCGGGAGTTTCTCTTTTCCAAGAGAAACATAAAACAGAATTTCATATAAGTAATGAAATTTACAAAAGGCTAATGTGGGTTCCAAAAACCCCTTCCTATAATCTCGGTATTCTAAATACGCTGCTGGAGAGTTTCAGTATCATAAATACAAAAAATCTTATTTGGGAAGAAATAGATAAAACGTAATCATTAAACAGGTAAGAGCAAATAGCACTTAAGGTTATCTCTGCTTTCCCGTTCGTAGTTCATCATTATCCTTTATTTCTCAGGTCGAGGTTTGTAAGTTAGTTTCTTCTTTGACAAATTTTAGTTTCCTTGCTTTTGAGACAAAACCTCATTAAACTGGAAAAATCCTAAAAAGAAATCTTAATAAAAGCTTATTTAGATTTAAGTTCTAACTTCCTAGGTCCAATGCAATTATTTAATACAGGTTTCGTTTTCCTCCGATCTGAACTCAGCACGCAACCCCCAAGGTGGGGCATAAAACCCTAGTAAAAACACGAACTACTGGAAAAGAAAAAGTGGCGAATATTGTAGAAATTCAATTGTAATCTTTTCTTAAATTTCTTCAGACTACAATTTTTTTTTTCACTAAAAAAATTGTAGTCTGAAGAAATTTAAGAAAAGAGAAACCCTAATAAATGAAACAAAATCAAAGCAGTTGAAGGAAAGCAAAAGTAAATCATAGCGAGAAAGGAGCACCTGCTGAAGCTGGTCTTTGTAGGTAGAGAGATTAGAAGCCAACTCTTCGATGCTTACGTCTTCTCCTCCTTGCATTTTGGTAGAAGATGAATTTCAGAGGTTGAAACTGAGAAATATTTTAGAGAGAATTTTTTGCAAGAAATAGGATGAACAGAGGCAGAAGACGGAGGAAGAAAGCGTAGAATATTTGGGAAAATCAGAATGAGAATCAGAGGATGACGAAGAAACGCGCACAACAGAACCTCCGCTGCGATCAAGAACGAAGCCCTTTTTCTGGTCTAAGTGGGCCTGCACATTAGGAAACTCGCTTTTTTCTTTTTTTTTTGTTCATTTTCTTAATTCAATCGGTATTTTTAACCCCTCCCTCGGATCATTACTCCTCTCCTTTAATTTTTTTTGACCTATTTTCATAAAATTATCCAAATATCTTCATTATTAAAAAAAAAGCTAATTTGTTGACCATCTTTATTCACTCCACCAATCTCTCATCATAAACCTGGCAATAATCAATTACAACATTAAAAAATTTAACTTTTAAACTTGAAAAATCATTTACTAAAATCTAACTCAAATAGTTAATTACATATTTAACATGGAAAAAATCAAAATACGACATACAATATAAATGTTATCTCAGGACGAGATTGTTTTAATTATTTTGGGCATGCAATCTTGTCCTCTTTTTAAATTAAATCCCAGATTTATTCAATCTTACCCGAATTCACATAAATTTATGCAATTTCTTTTTTTATTATTATTATTTTGGGCAGGCTTGCCCTCCTTTGAAATTAAATCCCAAATTTATTCAATCTCCTGGATTCATGGAATCTTGACCCCTTTTTTAATTAAATATTTACACTTATGCAATTTTGGGTTGGGATTTTGTAAATTCGATTTTTGTTAAATATTTAATCATTCCATTTTGTAATTTCAACATTTTTTTATAGATTTTTTCCTATTAAATTAGTAATTGATTTTTCAAATTTCAAAATTTTGATTTTTTTTCTAATGCGTGATTGATTCTTCAAATTAAAAAGTTTGATTTAAGAAGAGATTGTGAGGTTTAAGGGGAAAGGAATCAAGATTGTGGAGAATTTTTCTTTTTTGAAACAATAAAGATATTTTAGTAATTTTACCACGGCGAAAGTGAAAATGGGTCAAAAATAAGTTATGAAGAGTCACAAATGTTTTTAAATAAGGGGTCAAAATTCTCAATTTCCGTACAAATAAAGAAAAATTGACAAGATGACCCAAAAAAATTTTGGTTGAGGAAATTAACCAAAATTTTGAAAATAAGTCTTTCTAACTCAGAAAAAGACATTTTTTCTGACATGTCAGCGAAGACGAAAGTACGAAACTACCCGTAGAATGGATGAAAAAATGGAATGATTGAAAGAGAAAGCATGTGATGTCACTCAGGTGCAAGGTCGAAGGAACTTTGCCCGAGTTTTATCAAACTCGCCCTAAATCATTGGTTTTCATGGTCGAGTTTGATAGGTCAAGGGAATTCAAAACTCGAGTGAGTAACCCATATAACTTGCCATGATTTTAATAAATCGTACCTACAAATTTATTATTTATCCACTTTTACCTACAAAGTTAATATCTTTTATCTATCAATGTGTACTTATCATTATAATTATTTCAAAAAACTAAACTAAAACCCACGTTTTATTTCTTTTCGTCTTATAACCTCACACCCCTACCACGTTTTTCACCCTTCAACAACCATCGTTTTCAACCTATAGAATATTTTTAATGTCCAACATCTTTCAACATTCAATACATTTCATCATTTTCAACCGTTTGAATCATGTAACTTCTATATTCGTTTAGAACTTGAGTATTTATTTATTTTCTTCGGGTTATGGATTGCAAAATCTCAGCAACTTACCCAACTTTCACATTTATGTTGAAACTTGGTTGAATTTCATTTGAAGTTTGCTTGCGCTGCGTGGAACCATGTTCCTTTATTCATGCGGCGGGGAGAAGAAGCGTCAAATTATTTTGACAATTGTCGCGCTGGTAGAGCAGGGAACCTTTAAAACTGCTCGAATATTTGTGAGTTATGATGGTACGTGCAATGAGATACAAAATGAATACCAAGGTGTAGTTTTAGCAGGTTTAGATGTTGATGAATCCATAACATATTGTGAGCTCCTAAATGAGATGCAAAATGAATATCAAGGTGTAGTTTTGGCAGGTTTAGATGCTAATGAAACTAAAACATATGGCGAGCTCTTAAATGAGATGTACAAGCTTACTGGAATTGATCCCGACTAGTTCAACCTTGAGATATAATGTATTTATAAATTCCTATCGAGAGTCCCTACCTATTTGATTTTTTACAATAGAAATTTAAGATTTTTCTTGAGTGGACCCCTAAATACCTTTCAAGTGTCCATGTACGTATTCGTCATGCCCAAGGAAGTGCATGATAGCAGAAGCAACCAAGGAAAAATGTACCTTCTATCCATAGACCCAAATATTTCCTTCATTTCCATATTACCTAGGGCAAAATATACCATCTTTTGTCCCATCAATTCTCATTCGTCCACCACTCTAGGGTGTTCTCCACATAGTACACATATGAATATTTCATCATTAACCTCGTTGTCATGCAACGACTTAGGTGATAGTGTATTATGGAGGATGAGACACCACAATAGAGTATTACGGTGGAACGCCAGATGATGAGGATGCAGGAGGTGTAGATGTAAATGAGTTAGTTGAACCTAGTGGAGAAAATCTTGTAAAACTTTTGGGATGTATGCTTTAAGCTTGTGATAACTATTTAGATATGAATTAGGGGTGCAAATCGGTCGGTTGGAGTCGATTTTGAGCTTCAACCGAGTCGACCACCGATAAGTGACTTTTAGTTGATTGGAGCTCGTCGGTTTTAGAAGGCTCTACAACTACAATCAACTGACCACCACAACGGTCAGTCAATTTTAGTCAGATTGGAGACTAAGAAGTAGGAGAATAAAAAATAGAGAAGAGAAAAGAAGGGAGGTCAAGGAGATCAGAGGTAGGGGAAGAGACAGAGGGAAGAAAAAGAGAAAATTGGGGAGAAGAAGAAGACGTACCTTACCTTTAAAGAAATTAGAGAATTAAAAGGGAGAAAGAGAACTAAAGAAGGAGAGAAAAGAGATAGAGGGGAGAAGATAGGGGAAGGGAAGAGATAGAGAGAAAGAGAAAGAGGGAAAGAAAGAAAAGTAGAGAGGGGGAAGGGAAGAGATTAGAAAATAGAAAGAAGGGGAGAGGTGCGACTCGAGAGACCATTGAGATTTAAGAGAGTGAAGAATTAAAAAAATAATAATAATAATCACATCACCTTGGGAAAACCAGTGTTGCTATAGTTTTCTTTTGCAGATTGCAGCACATTTAATACGCATGGTACTTTTTTTTAGTTTATTAAAGTCGACCTGTTTCAATTTGAAATAACATTTTTCACCAAATCGACCGACCATGAGTCGATTTTAACTTTTGCAAGACCAACTCTGATCGAATTGTTAATCAAACAGACCAATCAATGTTAGTTTAGTTTTGGTCGGTTGGATCAGTCTTTTGAAAACTTTTGCTCACCCCTAATATAAATAGAATAAGCTTAATAATTGGATGTGAATTTTGTCGAGGAAATTGATATTCAATGCTTAACTGCTTCAAAGCTATTGGATGTGTTGTAAAACTTGATATGTGTTGTGTTCCCAAAACCTAGGTGAATGCAAGTGTAAGTGTACATTATATTTGTCGATTGTAGTATAAACAAGGTCGAAATCCATAAGGACTAAGTGTTAAATCTCAAGTTCATACTTAAGAATACCAATAATACAAAATAAAATATTATCAGGTGGTGTTTTACTAAGTCTAAACGAAATAACATGGAATTGCATATAATGACTCTAAGAGACAGATAAATAATGTCTAATAGATGCTGGGGCAAAGAAAAGCTTTAGCACAACTAGCGAAATAGGGGAAACAGAAATGAGATTAAGACGGGGGAGATTCTTTCAAGCTTTCATTCACTCACAGACGACGCTCTAGCTTAAAACAATGTTCATGCTCAAACCGGTGCAGTTCCCTTCCGATACACCTAGATATGAACATTTACAACTCCCGTTGCTAAATACTCAAACATTAAGAGCAGTTTCTAAGCACGATTAGGGAACCTTATTCCTAAGTATCCACAAATCTACTAGAAAAAAGTAGCTAACCACAAATAGAGCAAATCACACTACTTGTATATACTTCTGAATCATACAAGAGCTAACAAACTGATAAAAGTGGCCAACAAAAATCAGGTAAGATGAAAATGTAAACACAACTCTATTTATCAGCAAGGTAATCGAAGAACATCATTGTTTGCAACTATAGCAGAGAATCTTCCCCGAAAATGGGTTTAGTTCATGGGGGAGAGAAGAAATACAATGGGTAAATAAAAGAGGTAACCCATTTCGTGAAAGAAGACTATGAAGCTCTGAGAAATCGCTAGTTAAACGCAAAACCTAGTGGCTCCAGCGTTGTCGTCAGCTTCCTCTCCGAAAATGGGTATCTGTTTTCTTGGCTTCTGCACCAGACAAGGAATAATTCCTCCTTTGGGATCTGTGTTGTTGTCGGCTGGGACAACCCTACCCTTTTATATCGAGTCCCAAATTTTAGGGCAACATATTGGTTCTTGTATGGGCACGGTTAAAATTTCCTAATAGGGCAGTCTCTGCTCTGTGATACTTACTACCGCCTAAGGCTGCTCCAGCTTCGCATGCTCTTGCACCATAAAGCTCTTGCAATTCTTATATGGTTCATTTGTTGCTTAACCAATTCATTTCTTCAGCTCCATCTTCTGCAAAATTGAACCAAAACAGGGTAAAATAAGCAGGAATTTGTAGAATTTCATCAACTCAAGGAATCAAAACATGTTAATTTACTTCACCACTCAATTTCTCACTTTTGTATGCGATTTAAACATAGATACTCACATTAATGCACAGAATTACCCAAGTATTTAGTAAAATAACTCTCTTTTGGAGAGTTATCAGTATGCAATAGACATACGAGAGATCAAGTTTGATAGTAGTAACTTAAATAGTTTAATAGTATATAGATAGGTTAGGGACCTTATCTTGGAGATATTGTTGATATGGTTCACTTTGTAACTATTTCAAATGGTCCTATCAGGATCGTTCATGTGATGATATGTGAATAAAGGTATCATATGTTATGGGATTGCATAAGACACGACCACGATGTGTCTTGCACTGTTTTAATAAGATTGTATATTAAAATGCAAACGCATCACTAGGATGATCATAGGAATGAACA